AGGCAAGGAAGGAGAGGCGGTGGGGTAGCCCTGTATGTTAGGGAGTGTTTTGACTGTATAGAGCTTGACGATGGTGATGATAGGGTTGAGTGTTTATGGGTAAGAACCAGGGGGAAGGCCAACAGGGCAGATATCATGGTGGGAGTCTGTTACAGACCACCCATCCAGGATGAAGAGGCAGATGAAATATTCTATAAGCAGCTGGGACATGAGGCAATGTGCACAAGTGGCAACACAGGAAATTCTGGCTGGACAAAAGGAAAAAAAACTTCTTGCCCCTGAAAACAGTTCAGCAGACATGCCTGGAGAAAAAAAAGTTGGCTGGACGAGGAACTGAGCAACTTAATCTAAATTTGAAGTTAGGCCTGCTTTGGTAAGGAGACTGGATTAAAGAACTTCATGAGTCCTTTCAAACCTAGATCCTTCCATGATCCTACGATTTATGTACCAGGCAGTACCAGGAAGTTCTCTCTTTCACTTCCATTTGACCATTCCCTGCAAAAATGTGTTTGTACTCAAGTCATGTGGCTGAACCTCTCCAGTTTCTGCCTTTTTGCTGCTTGAAGTAGAGGCTCATGAGAATCAATTAATGCAATTATGTCTTCTCCAGATAGGCTGTCAGTCTGCACACAGTACAGCAGATATCCACAGAAATCTTTGGATTTTAAAGGTTTTTAAGTTGTTGTTGCTATGAGGAGTCTGGCATTAGCATGTAGCTTCCTGAGAATACAGTCATTCTAATAAGCTATGTTTTCACTGTAACTAAGATATTCTTATCTCAAAAGAGAGGCTTACGCTGCATTATTAATTATCAGTGTAAACATACAAAGAAAGGGGAGAAACACACCAAAAAATCTCAACTCTCACCCACACTTCAAGGCATAACAGCAGAAACCTCTTTAAAACTTTTGGCTGCTAGACAGCTGTGTGTTGTGCTACTGTAATTTCAGATATACTTACGTAGATTCTGCAAAAAGCCTGACCATTATTTTAAAAGTACACAACAGGCAGTAATAACAATCCAAATGGATGACTCAAGAAACCCACGTTAGACATAAAGCATTGCCAGCATCTTTTAAAGCAAAAAAAGATGTTCAACACACATTCTGCAACAGCTAAGGCTCCCTTACTTCTATCCTGTGTATAGATTCATAAAGCAAGGCAGCACAGGCAGGATACATCCCCACAATCTTCATGTGCTTTCCAACAATGTCAATACAAGTATCATGGCTGGAGAAAGACGTCCCTACTTCCAGTAAACTCCTTTACTCCAGAAGCGTAATGCTCATGCCAGGGAAATACCCCCAGTGATTCAACACAGGCTGCTTAACTTTTTAACTCAGAAAAATAACCTTTTCTAACTCTGTATTCAGAGGCAAGGTCAGCACAGCCAGAATCTGGATACACACTCTGCCTGACACTCCCTCAGAATTTGAGAAACTCGTCATTTTCAATCCATCTGTGTTGTTTTTGGCATGCTGCTCAATGAAAATCCTTCACAGCAGGATGTGCTGGAATGGCTTTGCACACCTTTATGAGGACTGCCTGTTTTCCGAAGTTACTGGCCCACTGGCTGACTGCAGACTGCATTAGCAGGCATCACTCGCCCGCTTTTCCACTCTGCAGCTCTCATCCTGGAGTCTCTGCACCAAAAGGCTGGGGTGAGCTACATTCATGACTATGGCCTCTCTCACTAAGCAGTCCTAGAACTGCTGCTGCTTCTCGATCTCCGTTGTAGCATAAAGCTGCCCACAGGTCCCGCACATCCAGTTGATGAATGCCTGCAGTTCTTATTCCCTCTTTGCATTAGGTAGCCATACTGCATGCATAGTATGAATGGTCACTTCTGCTGCCCTGCCTGGTGCTAACATGGCATCAGTTCTTTAACATGCTATGTGTACAGAGTTAAATGCACATATGCATATACAGGCTCACATATGTGTATATTTCACAGGAAAATTATGGGCTGTAAAAATTCCTTGGTAAAGCAGAGGCCCGTTGCTATCCAGGGGGACAGCCAACAATCGAAAGAACTGAAAAACAAAGTTGTGGGGTACAGAGCAGTGAGGGGTGCTGCACCGGAGCACCTCACTGCCAAAATGCTACTCACCCCGCACGGCACCGAAGAGATTGCCAGAGCCCGCACGACTGACAGGCGACAGTCACAGCAACAACCGCCGCCGGGCAGG